GTCGAGCGCCTTAACCAACTGGCCATACCGGGCCCCAAACAGAAGTGAATTGATCGTCAGTAAACTATGTTCAAGCGCTTAGTGAAGCAAGCGAAATGTAGAAAATTAGAATTAAATATTACTATAAAACCAATCAGCAGACACATATAATGGGATAATTGCTTTCAAGAAACAGGCTTTTTTTCAGGAATGAATTCACTATTGACAAAACCTTTTGCGTTTAGTAAGATTTCTGGTTATTAAGTCTACCTAGTTTGTGACACTATACATTTTCCAACTCAGATAGTAGATATTATCTTTCTTCTTGTGGTAAAATACAAAAATACCAAATGTACGTAAATTCGCTTTTTAAATAGTATCTTCATCCTTATAACTAATACTTTATAATTTCAGGTATCACTAGATTTAAGAACAGAGATAAAAAAAAAGAGCTAACTTAGCCATTCAGCTATCACATTGCTGAAATTTAAAAATTTAAGTCGAAATAAAAGATAACTCGGGAGAAACTGTGACATAAATAGTGACTGGTGCTGACTGATTCTTCTTTTGAGATTTTTATATATATATAAGCGTGAAACTTACAACAAGGTTTAACTAATTATTCCAAACAAAAAACCATATAATAATCGGGTGTCTGGTTAAGACTTATCATTACACCTCTTCGTACTATTAGGATTTAAAACTGCTATCTAAACAGAGGCGGTCTGACCAGTTTTGACTATAAATCCTGAGAAAGGTGAGGGTGTAACCTATATTTTCAGTAATAATTATAGGAACTTCCGTTAACCCAAATGGTCGTAGTTTGAAAATGGTATCCAGCCTGTAAATTTCTAGGAAATAATGCTAATAAGTGATAACCTGAAACTCAACCTGTATTTTAATACAGCAGGAGGGATGACATCACAGGACTTGTTTGTTTATTTTAGAGCAAAACCACATTAGGCTATCTGCTGTGAAGTTTTTATCTATCCTGCAGTACACGACATGGCGTCCAGTTGCGGCTGCGAACATCTGATTCATCTCGGAGCAGATAACTTACAATCGTAACAAGTCAGAGAAAGCAGAGAGCTGTTATCTAGTTGTGTATCCGTATTACTCTATCATTGTTTTGGGAATGATTCGATATTTTGCTAATGGTGTTATAAAACATTTGTAACTAACTTGCAATAACCTGTAGTGATTGATTGGGTTCTATTTGTCCGATGGCTCCTGAATGGGTGAAACATATGAATGTTTTCTTTGAAATCTTCTCATGGTTCATGAACGATCTGGTGCACTGTAAAGTCTGTGTTTCTCTTCAAAGAGACAAATGACACAATATTGTATGAAACCATAAGCTGAATGACAAACGCTTCATATCAGTAGATGGATTACCAGATGTTGATTGGCATAAAGTTAAACTGACAACTGATGGACATCATTATAGCCTGGCATGGTCTGGTGGTTACAGCACTCTACTCGCAAACTGGAGGTCACGTATTGTATGAAACCATAAGCTGAATGACAAACACTTCATATCAGTAGATGGATTACCAGATGTTGATTGGCATAAAGTTAAACTGACAACTGATGGACATCATTATAGCCTGGCATGGTCTGGTGGTTACAGCACTCTACTCGCAAATTGGAGGTCACGGGATCACATCCCTTTACCGAACATATTCGCCTTTTCAGCCATGGAGGGCATTATAGCGTGAGGGTCAATCGCACTATACGTTCGTAAAGTGTTGCCCAAGAGTTGATGATGGGGTGGTGTTTGCTAGCTGCCTTCTCCATAACCTTTCCAATAGCACTCGGGTAGATTTGCGAGAAATTCAACAAAACAAACAGACGTAATTTTACAACAATGGGTTTTGTGAAAACTAATCCTTCGTTAGTTGTTTTGTGCACTATATATGCATACACCGTAATAAGAAAAAAGCAAGAATTATATTCTAGCCAATAAATACACAAAAGAAAAACAAAATTCTTAAGGTATAGCCTCATTTATTTGTTTTATAGAAATGTTTAATTTGTATCAGTTTTGAGAATATAATAATTCTCCGTCCAGTATTGAGATTTTTTTCAATATTTGTCTATTTAATTTTTGTTGTTGTTTAGTATATTTGCAGTATTTTAGCAATTTTTAACTCGAAATAACTATTTAGGTTTTCATACTCCATAAACTCATGTATATGCAACAATTACAGAATTCCAACTTTTATGAATTACACTAAGAAACCACGCGTTCATATTGTGACTTAGATCAAAATGTATGACCGGCTTAAATTTTATAACGATCGACAAAATATGTAATAAGAAGATATATAGACGTTGAAAGCACGAAGAAACACAGAAGAATATAAAACACACATAAAATACTTGATGTCTTCTGTATATTATTAAGATCTTTCCATGAATAAGTTCGTGCTTATCATGGGTGTTTTTTCCATTGGACATATGAGTTCCTCCCCTCCCCTTTTTACGACTTTAATCCCAACTAATTTTGGGTCCGCTTTTATTTTTGTAAACTAAGATACTTTACACCCGGATGGCTGGCCCATTCGACAATCATATAAGACTAGCATGTTCGGTGA